TCTATTTGTCTAAATACTAGACATAAGGAAAGGAACCGTGAAACTAAACTACTAAAGCAACAAAAAATTACAACAACAAGATAGCATGGTATTGAAAGCAAATAATATAATATGTATTGGGAGGCGGATCTAGGATTTCTAATATATGGGTGCACTACTAAAAAAAGAGGAAAAATATATTGCGTAGGAATTGATCCTTGTTACTCTTGATAAATAACTCAATCTTCAACCAAGTGCACCTTCAACATTTTTGGAGTATGGGTATCAACAGTTAATATTATACTAATTTTAGAACATATGTACATAAAATATCTAATTTTGCGAATAGACCATGGGTTCACGTGCCCTATATTTTGCCTATAAATCCACCCCTGCATGTACGAACACGAAACAGGAATAAGAAAATACAACAATCAAACTAGTAATACAGGCAAGCCCAGGAGAGACTCACGACTCTTTGTCAACCTTCCACCCTAATATTTTTTCTCCACAACTTTATATCAAGGGTCATGTTCTTAAGACTAAGGATGAATATAGAAAAATAAGTAGCCCTAATTGTATGACGCAGAGTCCTACAAGGAGTTTCTCCATTCCTAAAAAGTCTGATCCCAAATAAATTTTTTGGTTAAACGTAAAGAAATCATATAGCACATGGAGGCCATGTTACTCTTGCATTCCAAATATGTCTTACTCACACTTTTGTACAAGTAAAGACAATCCTATAAGGCCAACTACTTGAAACTGCCATCTTAACTTCACTCCTTCATCAATTCATATGCTCTAATTGTCACAAATATTAGATGGTTCCTTTAATTGCTAAAAACACAATACCCCACCTCCAGGACCATATGCTTCTTGATATTTTCATCTTTGTAGTTAAATAATAAAACAAGAGGCCAAGGAATAATTGAGGGTTGTTGAACTCAAATCTCAAAATGGCTGTAACTGGATAGCCAAATGTACCATTTCGAATTTAGCTCTCTTTTATGTAGGAGTTGTGAACACTTAATTTTTGACCACACCCCAAATTCTATTTTACTTTAGTGTAAATATTTCTTTTAGGTCTAATCTTAATATTTTAAAACTTTATCATACTCTTAATAGGTTTTATTGAAGAAAAAAAAAAAAACTACAAAAGTAGTCACAGTCTTAGAGTATAAATTATATTTCTAATAAACAATAAATAAATAATATAANTAAACTTTTATCTTACTCTTAATAGGTTTTACTAAGAAGAAAACTACAAAATATAATCACAGTCTTAGAGTATAAATTATATTTCTAATAAATAATAAATAAACAATATAAATATATATATATAGTTTACTTATTAAAATTTTAATTAACAGAAATCAAAATTCACACACATCTGAAATATAAACTATAGTGTAAATATTTAATTTTCTTATATCTATAATATATAAGTTTAAAATTAGTTGGCTAATATTTTTAGCTATTTATTTTTAATTTCTCTTTTTCTTCATTTCACACATTAAAAAAAGGAGGAGATTTCTTCCTATCTGATCTAACTAACTTCCTTACACTTCCCACACACTCACGTCTCTCACCCTCAACCCCTCACGTTCACTCGGCACACACTCTATGATTCCCTCTATCTATAGGTCTCGTTTGAATTGACACAAGACAATATATAATAGATGGGCTTTTATCATTAGGGAAAAAAAAGAAAAAGAAAACAGAAAGAATTGTGCAAGTAAGAAAGAAAGAGAGGTGACGAAAGCAATCTGGAGAAAAAAAAATCCGGCAACATAAAAAAAAAAAACTGTTCTTCGAAGAATAAAAAGAAAAAGTTTGGCTAAGTTATTGAATCTGAAGATAGAGTTCGGGATTTCATTCGTGGTTTCGAGTTCGTGGGTTCTAGAAGTTTTATAATTAGTAGATTAAGTCGATTACTGACTGGATTTTTCGCAAAAAGGTAACACTCGAATCTTCTTAGTAAAGCCATATAATAACATGAGATCCATGTTTTCTTAGTGTAATTTGAAAAGTTTTAGCAATTAAATGCTTCATTACTTATTCATTTGATTTCATGTTTAAGTTATAATTGTACTTAGATTCATTGTTGATATGAAGCATGTGATCATCTAAGTTAAGGAAAAACTTGTATTGAGTTAATTTCTATTCGGAAATTATTGTGTCGTCGCTAGCCATCGCATAATTTTAATGACTATTAGACAAAATAATCAGAAGGTATTTTTTGTTTAAGTTGTTTTAGGTGTAAATAATAGTTATATTATATATCACATAGAAATCTTAATTTTAAGAGATATCATCGATTAGAAAAGCGAACAAGAATAGTATTTCAGTTTTCTCAAAGTTAAAGCTTTAAAAATATTTTGTTAATCTGAGTCTTTAACAGAAGAAATCCTTTTCATCGCTACTGGGCTTCAATTTCATTATAGTTGAATGGGTATATTGAAATTTCAAGTTGCAACAAATTGATTCTTTAGTCTTTCAAATGAGATAACAATAGTTGGTATCACGTCGATTTGTGTTTACATTAGGTTTAAAGCATATGAAGTGTTTGGTTAAGAATTCAAAGTTTAGTTTTTGTCTTGAAAATAGTTAGTCCCTTCTATTCTAATAGTTGGTGTCCAGAGTGTTAAACAAATTTTTTAAGGATATGTACTTCTTCCGGTTAAGTTTTAAATTTTTCCCATGATGCTTGAAAGTCAATTTATAAATTCATTATTGTTTGGTTGGTTCTCAAAAATCGATGTGTTGGATTTGTAGTTTTAGATTAATTTTTTTAAATGCCCTTCATACAAGCTTTTTTTTTTCCGTGTTATATATCATATGTATATTATTTCTATGCTCGTTTGTATATATTAAATTACTAGGTTATACAATGGCTCATTATCTTCATACATAATTGTTTCAAATTAATCCTACAAATAGTAGACAACTTTAGATGTGATTAAAAATATTATTTCGACCATCAATATATTTATTTGACATGGTTATAACCCATAAGTATAAAGTTAAGGGTGCATTTGTGTAACTAGATAAAAATAAATTATAAGAAACGAGATGAGCGATGAACTAATTCAAGACTCGTTCCAATAGGTAAAAGAAATAATAATAGTAATAAAATATAAAAAATAAATGGAATACTCTGAATATGCTAGTATGCTTTAGGCGCGTGTTAACCAATCAATTATGGTAATTATGTACACGTTCGCATGACATAGTTACGATTTTCCAAATTAAAGGCAAAGTAAGCGTTCGCGCAACTTTGACAAAACAATCTTAAAAATAATAAAGTATTATTAATTGTGTACACGTACGCGTGACATGATTCATGACACACCAAACAAAATAAATACACATACGCGTGATTCGTTTCAAGATAATTCAATAATTATAAATAATCAAGTAATTAAAAGCGGTAAGAGGTAAAATGCACGTAGGTTCTAAAAGTACGTAATTAAACAAACAAACTAAGCCATGTATGATTAAAAGCGACCGTGCTAAAACCACGGAACTAGGGAATGCCTAACACCTTCTCCCTGGTTAACAGAATTCCTTACTCGATCTTCTGATTTTTACGGACTTTAAAACAGAATCAAATTTCCTCTATTTAGGATTTAATATAAACCGGTGACTTGGAACACCATATAATTATCCCAAGTGGCGACTCTGAAAATTGAATAAATAATTCCATTTCGATTAATGTCACTTTAATTGGAAAAACTCCCTTTCTTTCCTTTGGCACCATTCCCCTATTTCTCGGAAAAAAGGAGGTGTGACAGCTCTGGCTACTCTGCTGGGGATAAGAACCCAGAACTTTTTTTTCAAGGTTCAGAATTCGAGCTTGTAATGTGATCTATACTTGGCTTTATTGATTTGATGTTATTACTGTATTTTTGGGCCTAATGTGCTAATTACCACTTATTTACCGCTTTGATATTATTTGAACTGTATTAAATTGTCTTCTTACGCCTCCCTTCTGAGTCTTCTGAATTTATGTTGCACACGTGCGCGTGACCCACTTTTTTGTTAGAAGTCATACCAATTAGAACGAGGCTGGGTCAGTAACTAGGCCGGGTAGTCTTTCGTGCTCCCGATACGTTGCCCCCACCTCGGCTCGAGCTGTCCGCTTGGGTAAGCTAAGTCTAAATCACTCCCCAGGATTTAAATCTAGAATAACATAGCCTCATGCCGGATCCCTAGTAGGTACGTTTGTTTGCATCACGTGCATTTGACTTTGGAGACTCAACACAGAGGTTGGGTCCATCTAGGATAGGTGTACCTGAGAATTACATGACCATACTGATGCATCTTATTTGCTACTTGTGCATTATATTTGATTTGGTTTGTGCATATTGACAAGTTTCTAAAATAAAAATAAAAATATAAAAATATTGAGGGAAAACCAGAAAGAAGAAAATATGAGGGAGAAAATTTACCCGGTTTTCGAAAATCTTAATATTTACCCCAAAAAATATAAGCCTGAATTTTTCAAAAAAAGTGTCATCCTATTCCTGAAATATTTACGAACTATGCGGGTCTGATTCTCACCAGATGTGAGATACGTAGGCAACCTTCATAGGGTTCGGCCCCATTTTTATAAAATAACTAAAAAAAAAAGAAATGTGTCTAGTGTTTTTTAAATCAAAAAATAAATAAGCAGACCCAACTTCGGTTAATCCCAAATCGTTCATGTCGGAATAGCCTTAGAACATCTTCAAAATTGTTGAAGGGCTGTTCTCGCAAGAACGGACGTGTCTGTCAATTGAGAATCACTTTTACCATAATGCCCTTCCCCCGGCCCTAAAGCTATCCTTGAAAGTAAGAAGGGGCCATAGTTGCAAAAATAACCACCCTTTCTTCGGTCACAATTGCAAAAATAGCCCCCCTTCTCGTTGATTTTTCTTAAAATTAAGTTATTTACAAAAGATTGTTTTGCAAAAGGAGTGCATTGGTTCTGTCTCTTGAGACTAGTGTCAACCTTAACCTTAACCACCCACAGGTACAAAATGAGCACCGTCCAGAACACACCATTCAAAGTTATAGACGAGGCTCCACTTCAGCTTCAGATGTGGTGGTATGATTTAGGAGAAGATGGTCAGAAATGGGTCACCAAGCACCTGAGAGCCCTTATAGATATTATGAAAATTAAACCACGGGACGATTTGATTGAGGCACTAATGACTTTTTGGGACCCCGTTCACAATGTCTTTCGCTTCTCCGATTTTGAGCTAACTCCCACTTTAGAAGAGATAGCTCGATATTCCGGGTTTGGCAGGGATTTGAGAAACCAGGAGCTCATATTCCCAAGGGCTCTTTCTATGCACCGATTCTTCGATCTTCTGAACATCAGTAAGCAAATTAGAAAGACCAACGAAGTTGAAGGGTGTTGTTCTTTCTACTTCTTGTACTCTAGGTTCGGGCAGCCAAATGGGTTTGAAATGCATGAAAATGGCCTTAACAACAAGCAGAACAAAGACACATGGCAGATTCATCGTCGCTTCGCCTTCATAGTGGCGTTTCTGGGAATTATGGTTTTCCCAAACGAGGAGCGGGCAATTGATACCTGCATAGCCAGGGTTGTACATGTCCTCACTACCAAAGAACATCACACTCTTGCCCCGATCATTCTATCAGACATTTATTGGGCGTTGACTTTGTGCAAGTCCGGGGCAAAATTCTTCGAAGGGTGCAATATTTTGTTACAAATGTGGTTGATTGAACATCTCCGACATCACCCCAAGTTCATGAGCTATGGTCCGAGCAAGGACAATTTCATTGAGAGTTACGAAGAAAGAGTAAAAGATTACAACTCTCCAAAAGGGGTGGAAGCCTGGATATCCCACATAAGATATTTAAATGCAAGTCAAATTGAGTGGACTTTGGGATGGCTCCCGGTAAGAGAGGTGATACACAT